TGAGCACAGAGAGCCGTTTGTCGTTGTCACAATACTAAAGACCAGTGATTCCCAAACTGTGCCGCGGCGCCCCGAGGAGCCGCGGCCTCTTTACAGGGGCGCCGCGAAATATTGTAAAATCTTTAATTTGAGAAAATGCGCAATGATTTGCAAGCTCATCCATCACATTTATTATTAAATATTAATTTAATGTTAATAAAGTTTAAAAATAGTGAAGATACACGAGTTTTATTTATTTTTATTTCTTACGAATAGTCATACTTAGAGTAGGGCGCCATGGAAAAATTTTAATTAAAAAAGGGCGCCGCGACTTGGAAAACTTTGGGAACCACTGCTATATTAATTGTGAAATCTCTACTGCATCCTATAACTCGGCATGCCGATCCAGCCCTACTTTCAGCGTTATACACTGAGCTGTAACCGCAATAACTTCGTAACGCGTAGATACAAGAATACACACTTTCCTTTGTCTCAAATTATTTACGCTTACATTTAAGCATATTTTCCTTCCTTAGAAATTGCTGATGCATTGCGTTACTCGCATAGTTGGTTCATCTTCAGAAACTTCATAAGTTAACTCCTGTACAAGTATTATCAGCTACTGCGCAAATAACCTAGGGCATCGCCCATTGCATCGCAGCAATATAATGGGCTAAAATAAATCGCGTTGAATGAGTTCTTAAAGTAGTTAACCGTCTCTCAGTAATTAGGAAGCAAAAAATGGACAAGAATATGATTGTCAGTATAGTTGCTCATACTTTAAATTGCTTGTAATTGTTACCCAACTGACAGATCTAATTCCTTATTTCTAGGACTCTTTTTAATAAGCCTTGTTTTCTTTTTGATAGTGAAAAGCTTATTGCATAAATACCAGTATCACTCTTCTTTGTTTTATGTTTACCATCTTTGTTAGATTCTCTTTTACCTTGTTTTATTGTCTTCAAGTTTCGAGCGCCGCAGCACTATGCCGTTGCCCGGGATGGAGGGGAAGTTTATCGCCAAAGGCCAATTTGAAGGCAAATCAATCGCTGTGTTTACCAGTGGCGGAGATGCGCAGGGTATGAATTCAGCCGTCCGGGCTGTTGTGAGGATGGGCATTTATTGTGGCTGCAAAGTTTACTTCATTCGAGAGGGATACCAGGGGCTTGTGGATGGTGGAGACAATCTTGTCGAGGCCACCTGGGCTGATGTTTCTGGAATTATGCAAACAGCAAGTTGGATTTTATTTTCCTCTTAATTTTCTTTTTATACACACGTAATCACAGCCAGCCAACTTGCTCTAGTCTCCACTGCGCCTCCTTTTTCCATCCATACTACCAAGCCCATGACTTACTATGCCCTAGTCTCTTGCGTGTAAATCTACAAATGTTGTGGTACTACTTATTTTGATTAGGTTAAATGTAGGATCACAATATTTGTGGGTTAGCACACAAGAGACTAGGGCATAGGAAGTCGTAGACTTGGTATTAGAGATAGGAACATGATAGACGCGGCGTAGATTACAGCTAGTTGGCTGACAGTATGCCTTTTTTACCATATACGTGCTCAATCAAGCAAAGGCTTGACGATAATAATTACTCGGGCTCTTTAGCCTTAAGTTAGTCTATCAGACGCAGTGTAGGATAGATAGGGTGGCATGGGTCGAGTGAATCCTTGGACCAGAGAGATAGCAGACGGATCTTACTCGGCAAGAGGGAGACTCAAATAAGACCTATGGAAAGAGGACTGTTATAATAGGGCAGACCCTGTTCAACATTATCAGAACAAGGGTGAAGGGCTTTGGATAATTTTCGGGACATCTGTTAAAAAAGGCGCACCCTACCACATTTAAATAACCAGGTAAGAAATTGTGTTATTGAAGGTGTGATGCGAGTATATAAGATTGGTGATTAGCCCAGGGCGGATGGAGAGATACCACGATTGTTTAGAAGACAATTGATCAAAGGATCGTCTTCACTTGTCTGTTTGACGAGTTGTAATGTAGTGCTAAGCATAGCAAAACTTAATGACAATTGCGACTAAAATGTCAGTTAAACGTCTGGGTATGTACCACGTCCACGGTCCGTCTCCGAAAATTATCATGCTAGGTGTGCTCCTCTAGATCTTCCTACCAA